CCGCCTCGAAAAAAATTACACCGCCGACCACGCTATTTTTACGACCCCTTAAAACTATGCGCACTTTTATTTACAAAGTGTAGAAAACGAGTGACGATTGATGGTACCTAAATTAAATTTAAATGCATAATAAAATGTTGCAATATAATTAAACTTAATTAACAACTTAAATAATATATTTATGACAAATTGCGCAAGTAATGATAAAAGATAAAAAATTATCAAATTCGAAGAAAAATCGCAATACGACATAATCTATTGTGAGACAAAATATGCGTGTAAAACAATCGTAATAGAAGTCTCCTTTCAGGTAATATTTGCGTTGAATGGATCTTAACGACTGCTTTGAAATGCAAATTACGACCCGTTAACTCATCCAATATTAGAAAATGTTGAATCAATCGATCGGATTAAAATGAAGAAATAATGAGTAATGTGGCAGCTAGAGTCCATTAGACTTTATCCCTGATTGCAGGAGGAACTCGTCACGGAATGGTCACTGTTAAGGCTAAATGCGGTGCGTTATACCTACACGGTAGTGTTCGTTTATTAGTAGACATTTATCAAGGAAGCTTATACTACAATTGATTCCCCAAGATCCGCAACTGATTTACGACTTACATAAGCACAAATCGAATCTATCCATTGTGGAAATGATCGTACGCGGAGTTCCAGCAGCATTCTCAGTAGAATCTACTTTACGCAAATTATGTTTGAAATTCATATATTTAATGGACTTGTAAATGCCGACAAGCGTAGTAGTAAGTAAAATAACAAACTAGCAAATAATAAATCTCTTACTGATAACACAGAATAAGAAAGAGTTTTACGTCTTTGTTATTATTAGATTATTATTGCCTATTACGTTATCTTAAATATCTTTATTTTATATATTGGCAGTATTGGCTTTATATTTCTACAGTTTTCAATTTCAATGTTATTTATTTATTCAGAATTTTTCTTATAAAGTGGTATCTCGAGTATGTAAATACGATGTCCAGGTCCCCAAATATTCCAATAAGACAGCCTTCCAATAAGACATTCAGTGCCGAGAATTCAATTATACGAGAAAGACATAGAAGAAGAAGAGGTCTGCAAGACATATCTGTCTTGGCGACGTTATCCACTCTTGAATATGCAAACGCTGCTCCGTGCGATGTTTAACACGCGAAGAACTCCCCTACGGTCGATTGCACCGGGGATACAGACGGCGTTCTACCTGCGCCTGCGAGTGTACCTAAATGCATGTGCAACGCTTGTTTCGAGATAGAACAGGATTTATACGGTATAAATATACCATAGTATAATATTCAACATCCACGAATAAATTCGAAATAAAATGCTTGAAGAATTCCACTTACTACATTTCTTAGAAATATTTTCTTTAAATTTTATTATTCTCTATATATTGTTATCTTATATTCCGTCATTTTAGGTTCTAAAATTTTATGTATGAAATTACTAATCTAGTTTTCTTAATGATTTTGATTTCATTGAAATCTATGTTCGTCTATGACGGAGGACGACCACATTCGTTCTATTATTCAAGAGTTTAACAAGGGAATTGACAAGGGAAACTCTATATGAGGATAGAGAACGTTTGTTCTTTTGCTCTTCTGTCACAAACTTAACTGTTCTCATTCCATAAGTTGTTATTTAAATTAAAGGTGCATACTCAATATGTCTTATTGATAATGTATGTAATAAGAACAGAAAAAAGTATATAAATATATAATCTCTACACACTTGCTTACGATAAATTTTTGCTTTACGATAAATTAGCGTTTGGCTAGACGCATGAATCATGCAAAAAAATCAACTATTGTCTAGAGACAATTTTTCTAAAGTAAATCGCTATTTTTCAATGAGAAATAATTTCTAAATAAAATGATAATACAAAGTTTTTCTTTTAAATAATTTCATAATTTTAAATAGTTAAAAAATTAAATTTTACAAAATTTTAAACCTTAAATTTTAAAAGACTTGAATTTTATTTATAATTTTATTTATAACAAATACATAATGAGATCTTGTAACTGAATTATTTCGCAGTAATTTAATTTATAAGAAAGTTTTCATATTTCTAATTCAAAAACTACTGATTATTCCGACATTTTAACTGCAAAAGGATCTTTTCCAAGTTCTCAATAGATCTGTAATTAAAATCGATGGTCTTGAAACACTTTTAGTGCCTATGGCGTATCTCAGGAAAGCCCTTCGAGGATAGTGTACGTGTTGAAGAACTTGCGTGGGAGGAAGGGCGGGTTGTAAAAGTGTTTGTAATCGTTCCGTCTGTATCTAGTTGCACACGCGATCTACGGATTAAAATTAACAACCGCTCCGGCATATATTGATTGCACTCTCACCTTGACACCGAGCAGGAGGTTCGTTCCTCCGCCGACAACGATGGCCGCACGCGAAGGTTCCGGTGCAGAGAAATACCTCCCTCTCTCGACATTGAACCCTCCTCGTATAAATACCGAAATTAGATGCCGCCGTCCATCGGAGAATCGGATCGTTGTTTCACCATTTAATGCGACCTCGCAGCAAGCTCTTTGCTGAGATTAAACGAAAAGTCGGAATCGAGTCAGAGATTTAAATTGCGACAATCCTTTAACAATTACTTAATTAACTGTAACTTGAATTTGATATTATTTAAAATTATATTATATAAAAAATAAAAAATGAATATATACATGATAAAATTTATAAGATTTAAGAAAGTGATATAAATTTTTATTTTTGACATAATTTTTTGCAGAGGTAAGATTTATGAGATGAAAAATTAATTATTTAATAAGAAATATATAATATGTAAACACAATTTAAACATAAATTTAATAATTTAATTATATAAATTTAATAACAAAATTTATCCAGAATTTAAAGTGAAAGCATTAAATGATAAAATGAAAAAAATGACGTTGTTGTTGCTTTATGCGATGTTTTACGTACGTTTTATATTTTTATATTGTTACACAAAAGACATTGAGTAGAATTTTGTCAATCTAAAGTGTCGCTGTAAATATGTAACGGCCGTACTATCTCTTAAATCCCTCGATCCTCTTCGACAATCGCACTTAGGGGAGCAATATCATCATTTCACGAGAGTGACAGAATATCTTCAGGTCGCTCCTGGTACGATCGAGTCGATACAGTCCCTTATCGTCAAGTATATGGATTACCGATGAATGTCCATTCCAATCGAAATTGGAAACGCTCGTCGAATAAGGAGGAACTCGCTCAACCATAAGAAACAGAATCAGAGCAACTTTGTATTTCCTCCCATGAATACTGGCCGAGTACTCTTCCATTTCCTTTTTTTGAAAAGAATTTGTTTGAAATTTGAAAAGAAGATGTTTCCGACATTTATTTTACATATCAGGTAAACATATGTAAACATTTTTTTAATTTCATAATTGCAGATTTAATTTCGATCTCACAATAAAGATAAATATAGCGCATTACGTTCCCTCTTACATTTACGCTTGCCTGAAATTTATAAATTCCCAGGTCAGACTTACATCGCTTTCAAAACAAACGGCCTCCATTACATTGTTATATTTTTCTGTATCTCTCATATCTGAAATTGCGTGCGGTAGAAAAGGTTTTCTCTATCTCTCGCGGGCGCTTATCGTCATATAATTTATAAGGTATGACAGGAAGCGTGAGAGGAAAAGTCGCCTCTCGTGACATAATTTATTTGCTGGACGTGGCGGCGACGATCTCGAGAGCGTGTTCGATGTAAGCTCAAACGTAGAAACCGCCAGACGATCGGCTTCGATGTGTAACATATGCCTTACGCCAGACGGCCTTTAGATCGTCTCGCGGCATATTTTATTCAGCGAAGCGCATTTTTGCGGCTGAACACGTTCCAGCCGTTTTCAGAAACGCAGGTTTTCTGCATGCACATAGGATCCTGAAGTTCTTATCCCGGGAAAGCTTGCAAAAAGAATTCTCGCGGTATCCCGAATGAGAGGAGATACTCGGTCAGCTCCCTTTCCACTTCTGGGAAATTGGTTTTCGTAATATTGCACTCGACGAGGACATGCGAAAAACTATTGCTTGAATATTCACCTTTCGGCAAAAATGTAAATTCTCCTGCTGCTATGAAATATACATCAGAGAGATAGACTTTTCTACGATATAATTTATTCGTCTTCTTCTGTCTCTCTTTCTCCGTGCACAAAATATCGAAATTCGACTGAGATTCTGATAGACGACCTATTCGTTTATTTAAACATTAAACTTTCGCAACATTACTGAATTTCCATTCGACGACAGATTTTCCTTTCACGTTTTTTGCATCTTTTTAATCCAAAATTAAATATTTCTGATTATACACTCAGATAGAAAACTTATAACGCAAATGACTATGAAATAGAATCGCTTGGAAATATTTTTTTTTTAATTACGGGCTGTTTTTTGTAATAAAAAAATTTTGCAAACGTTTTTGTGAAAACAGTATTGGTGATAGTAATTAACAAAACCGTACTGTTATCGTACTGTTGAAAATAAAACGAATTTGGTAAAAGTTATTGTTTTTATCTCTTCTTTTTTCCCGTTGTCGATATTTCTGCGTTGCACCTGTCAACTTTTAACGCGATAACGACGGCAAACAGCCGCGAGGCTTTCCGTGATGTTACGTGACGTTTCCGTGTACCAAGTAACTGTGAGACGTGCGCGCGAAATCGTCAGCAAAATCGGCGAAACTGGAATTACTACACACGTCACTGTATATTGTACATACCATTACTACATACCGTTCGCTTCCCGAAATTCGGCCGTGCCCTCCTACGCTTCCGGCGAGCCATTGAGTTCGTTTTGCGGAGAATTTATGAGCGAGGAGCCATTGTTCTTGGACGCGACAACTTTTGGGAACGATATCCGATATAAGTCAGCCTAGGGCGCAATCTGAAAATTCTATCCGGAGAAAATTGCGGAGGAAGAAATCACCAGATAAGAAGCGGACAAACGTTATTTTTTTTCTTTTGCTTCAGGACTCTACTTCCCGCAATCGGACCTCACTCTAAGGTTGCCGTACTCGGCTGAATACAACGCGGACGAGGTCAAATTAATCGGCCTTAGGACGCTCCGGAACAACTCCGCTACGCCACAAAATGCGGAGTATCGGATCCTCATGCCGCAAGAAAAGTCTGTAATTTATCTTGGAAATACGAGCGATGTTATCTTACGAAATGTTCCGAAAAATGGTAGATACATTTTTATTTATTTATCACATTTTTTTTTCACAAGAAAATCTATCTAAGGAATTTTATTTAATGCTATAAAAAGATAATATTTAACCTTAGCTGAAATAGTTTCCTATTTTTTACATTTTATTGCAAGGCACCCTTCATATCGTTATCAAAGCGACGGAAAAGAATTATAGCGAAGCAGTGCTCGAAATAAAAGTGAAATCAGTACCGGTGAGAGGAAAAACAATCAACTGTGCAGATTTCGTGCAGGTAAATTGTCGCAATAAATTTTTACTACCTTCTAAATATTCACGGATGATGAATCCTAAGTAATGCACCGCAAATATCACTTGAAAAATTCATATTCTGCACATAAATAAAATTGAACTAGATAATAAAAAAATACCTAATAACCTATTTATTATTTGGTGAATATAAAACCACAAGTCATCGTAAAAGTTTGTTTTATCTAGTCGCTGTGATATAAAGAGTATGGTTGTGTGAAATATCTATTATGCATATTTTATCATATTTTATGGGAGGCATCGATACACGAAGTTCCTGGTGTTGCAGGACATGTGCTTCTGGAATACGTCAAGATACAAGATTTACGAGAATCAACCAGTCACCATGATTGGCATGTTCGGCCCGGAGGCATACAGCTACGTGTGTCCCGAATTTCGCGTTACCAAATATGAATTATTGAATGGCAAGTATCTTCACTGACATCACAATCCTTTCAGTTTCCACTTTTCGGATCCAATCCCGTATGATTTCAGACACATCCGATTATATTTTATTCAAATGAATAACAATAATCCAGATTTTAAACTTTAATTCAGAAATATTCAGAAAGTTTCTAAAGCATTTAGTGAAAGTAACTTTTAAAAAAAAACTCCATTTTCTTCGCGTTTGAGATTTTTATCATTTTGAATTAAAGCGTCCTCGATGAATCGTATCGTCGCCCGGTGATCTTCGTCGAACCGTCAGGTTCATATTTGCGCGAGATAAATTCTCCGTCAAGGATCGAGCATTTTTCACTGACAAAGCCGGGATAACAGCGAAACGGTGATTGATTGGAGTCATTCGACGTAAAATACGAATAAATCGTGCCGCAACTGTTCGCGACAAAGCTGCCTTGCAAAAGCTGCCGTTAGATCAGCGCAAACTGTCATCATTAAAATTCACTGAAGACGTCGTTATCGTTACAGTGACGTAATACGTAATAGCGGATCGAAACCTGTGGCTCTCTGTGTGCGTTGAATCATATATCAAATTCCTGAATCTCTTCAGCGACGGTTTAAATTTTATTTTTTGACCGCTGTGAATACAATAGAAGTCGCTATCGGGAAAGTGTTGCAAGCTCCATATTTCAAATGCAGCATTTTGGGAGAGAGAGTTTAATCTAACAATAGTGGGATATAAACATTAAACTTTTATATAAAATCCCGTGAAAAAAATATGTAAACGTAATAACTCGCATTAAAATATTTTGTCAAGATTGTCATTTGCAACATCATTTGCAAATGCGTTAGTATTGTAATAATAAATTTAATATCGATATCTAAAATTGCGGAATATAAAACGGCTTATGCATTAAATTGAAGGTTAAAACATTAAAATATATGTACATTATAGCTGTATCATTATTGTTATCATATATTATAACAGTATTTTTTATCAGATTCGTATCTGATAAATTTGATTGCTTGCACTATTGTTCTCGGAAGCTCTGCAATTATGTTAATTTATGCTAACGATAGAGGAAGTGGATAGAGGTGCTCTGCTACCTCAATCCACTTTTAAATAATATATATGATATCCTGCATTTAATATTGAACTTAAAGCATAGATTGTCATAGAAATGATAACGCAAGATTTACTCTCACCTTTCAGGAACTGATTATTTTCACGTGATCGACGATAAACTATACGCTAATGCATCGTTGGATCGAGACGTTATCGCAAGTTATCCGCGAGGACCTGGACCTCGCATCAAAGTCGAAGTAAGATGTGTCGTTTATGAAGAAAATACCGGGTTGCAACATGTACAAACGGATGTTCTCACCATCAACATCCTGGATGAGGACGACAATCCTCCGATAGCGCAAAATAAAACTTCCATCTCTATACAGCTGCAGGACTTCTCCAAGGTAAGTTTATTAATTATCATCGAGTAACATCGAACAAACGGTCTAAGTAAGCCCTTATCACGATCGTTCGAGTGGATTGGGACCAATTAACTTCCTAGTATTAAGGAAGTCGCAAATTTATCGTTAGCGGAGCATAAGGGCATCGCTGATCTATATCGAAATCCCTCCCAGTTAATGTTCTAGTTCCAATCTAATTTTGTGAACCTGATAATATCTACTTTCTTACTACTATTTTCTGAAAGAAAATTAAATTTTTATCGAATTGAACTTTCGATGGCCTTTATTCGTGAATAAAAATACATAAAATGTAAGAATTAAAATATAAATAGTATGAGATATTGTATTCAAATTACATTTATGTAAGAATATTATAAACGACGAAATAACACGTAAATAATAAGTGCAAATTAAATTAGAATTAAATTAGAATTTATCTGTAAAAAAACATTTTTTCTTACAAATTGAAAGAGTAGGTTGTCGTATTCATATTACGAGATTTTGTCTGAATAATCCCAACTCTTTATTTTTCCCCTAACATTTAATGCCCCGGAGCATTCCATTCGACAAATTTCAGCATTTCTCCGCGAACGAATCTCGTTTTTTTTAATGGCGATATTACCATGTCGGAAAGGAGACTTAATCATTCACTCAAGCATTCATTGTTCGTGTAATTACCGCGTTGTTTCTCGCGCGACGTGCGTAATAAACGTCAAGTGCGACGAATATTACAAAAGACATGCGAGAGTGATGAAGTACCGATGATAAGAGAAGAATAGCTTTTGGGATTGATCGTGATTAAATCTCTCGGAATGTCTCTCTCTCTGGCGCATCAAACCCTCTTTTTCTTTTTACTTTTCACAGACTTCGGTAAACACCTTTTTTCTCTTCACTTAGCTATTACTTTTTATTGTTCCTCACTTCTTAATAATAGAGTATAATGAAACCGAGATCTTTTTATGAAATCTTAACCACGATGAACGAATAAGTTAAAACAAAAAATCTTTGAAATAATAAAAAATACTTATATAGAAAAATAATAGATATTAATTAAGTGTGTATTAATAAAAAAACATGTGTAATTAAAGCTATTATAATATATGATGTATGATAGCGACATGTTTCTATGTAAGGCATTAATAAAAATCAAATTTATATCACAGGACCACAGATTAGTGGATCAGAACCTTTTGCTCCTGAAAGATGCGGACGAGTTGACTAGCAATAAGTATGACGTTCGCTTGCTCGACGATACCTTCAACGCATTAACCGTCGATCCTATAATCTTGCCGATCGAGCATCCCACTCTCTTGGATCAAGCTCCTTCCACCGGTATTTTCCCGCGTAAGTATCAAACATTGTTGGCGATTAGCCAATTTTATTTCATTAATTTTTTTATTTAATTTAATAGACAACCGCATGCGTGACAATCGCGGTCATAATCGAAAATTCGTTTCACGTGTTTTCCAGAAATTTTCGCCAAGAAGACGCTGTTGCCGAAGTCGCCGTACCGTGTGACTCTTCAGGTTACAGATGAATCGCTTCTCGCGGGACACGGAGCGAATTCGGTGAGTCAGTATCGATTCTACGTCGCCGACACTCATTGGCAAGCTACTTGAAACACTCGCTCCATTTGCAAAGTGTCAAAGGACAGTGGCCAAATAACTTAAGAGCCAATTCCTAGCGTGGTAGCATATAGTGAGAGAGA